TTTTTTTTTTTTTTTTTTTTTTGTGATTATTGTGGGAGTGTACGAAACGACACTCACCGTTGTTAGTGGTAGCGGCATTGGGTGTCGTTGGAGTTGTGGGACTAGCTTGTTGGGTTGATGGTGCATCGGGATCGGCAACAACTTGGAAAACATCACCGATGTCTGTATGGGGATTGTCATTGCCTTGTATACCACTGCGTCTGTGGAGCTGATGGAGTTGCTCCATTTGCAGATGTCTCAGTGATCTAACGTGTTGCAACAATGGTAACCGGTGCCTTGCACTGAATCCACATAGCGCGCAGTGATAGAGTTTATTTTGTGATTGGGTATTGGCACTGGCCTCGAGTAGATGCCGTAAAAGTAATGCTGCTGCTTGATGCCTGGGCGAGTCTGCATGCATGACTAGCTTATGGGCACTATTTGTATAGTAGTCACATGCGTGACAGCGCAATTGTGCACTAGTTGGGGACGCAAGGAATTTGAGCTTCCACTCATTACGAGGACCGCCCTCTTTAACATGATTAACATGCTGCAACCGTTGGAGATGCTTGTCTGTTTTACAGTGCAGTTGGAAGTTAGCCTTGAGATTGGTCTTGTAGGAACACAGTTTACAGACAAAATTGCCAGCAACGAGGGCGAGTATTTCACCCTCTCGCGTTCTCGTCCTATCAGTGGCAAGATGATGACCGAGAGCATCGAGAGAGTCTGTGCTAAAGTTATTGCACACACAGCAGTGATAGAGGTGGGTTGGATCGGGATCGGCTGGTTCTGGTGGTGGTTCCATGCTATCTGGGGACAGACCAACGTCACCAGCCAGATTGCTCATTGCACTCATACTCGCCATACCGCCTAATAATTCTGGTGGTAATTGGGGAGGTAATTGACCACCAGCTACCATGTGAATGAGAAGAGCCTGATTGTATGCCATATCAGCTAGCGCAGCCTCGGCGTGCTGTGGTTTATCCAGACCACCGAGATGTAACAATTGTTCCAATTGCTGCTGCTGCTGCTGCTGCTGCTGTGCAGCCGCTTGATGATGATGCTGCTGTGCCTGTTGATGATGTGACTGGAGTGCTGATAATGTCTGCATGTGTTTAACATTTTGCTGAAGTACCAGCATATTGTGCGTATGTTTTTCACTCGTCATGTGTATCCTGAGATTTCTGGCAACATTTGTTTCATAATTACATACATCACAACGAAATGTCGGTTTTGGTTTACCCTGAGTGACAGCCTGGCCAGCCAAATGGGGACTGTGATTTTGTTGATGATGGGGACTCCGCGTTGGCATTGGTGCCTCCTGCGAAGACGAAGGATTACTCGCTGCTGCAACAGCAGCAGCAGCAGCACCACCACCCTGCTGCAATTCTTGCATATTATTTAAATGCTTGTCACTCTGCATGTGTATACTGAGATTGCCCTTGGTTGTCGTTGAGTAGTTACAAACTTCGCACCTGTACGGCTTGTAACCGCAAGTGTACGTCTCACCCCTCGCTAACCTCGGATGCGGTTGACCAGCGATACAGTAGATACACGAGGTTTCACTCTCCGGATGTTTTTCCTTCATGTGTATTTCCAGTGTCTCCTGGTACTTGTAGTGCCAATTGCATTTTGGACACTTCAATGTTTTACATGAATTGCGACTGTGAATGCCAGCGAGAGGTCCACCAGGTCCAGCTAAACGACTACTGGTAAGTATTAATTCACACTTTGGGCATTCAACGCCACTGGGTCTGCCCTGCATGTGCTCCGGGCATACGCCGATTGTCGTGCCGGTAAGAAAATTTGGTGGCTGCTGGGTGAGGGCAGCGTACGACGATGGTGAGCCCTTAGTCGAGGATGGTGGTGGAGGTGATGTATAAAGCATAGCCTCTGGCGCTTTGGCCCACGAGGCAGCACTAACTTGACCCGTCCACTGATGCTGTGAGGGTTGATGATTGAAATTCAACGAATTCGTATGGGACGTTGGTGTCGTTGGCGTACTTGGAGATGGCCTCTGCGATTGTGCTTGTGGACTAGTTGGTATACCCGGTGTACTTGTGGGTGTACTGGCTGCAGTCGGTATCTCGTGGTCATTGGATTCGGAGCCACGCTGTTGCGTTTGCGATTGCGATTGCGATTGCACCGGGGAACTTTGTGGACACGATGAACTTGTCACTGACTCAAGAAAACTGACCAATGGTTGTTTACCCCTTCCAACAGTCTGAATAATAGCTGACGTCGTCGCATGCGACAGCACCTGCCTCTCATCCTCCATCAGTGTCAACTGATGCTCACCCTGAGCGTGTGCAACAAAACTTTTAGCATAGCCAAAACTCAGTTTACATATAAAACACATGAGAATCGGCTTGACCGGTACCGAGGTTGATGGAGGCGGTGGAGCTGGCGTTGGCGGCGGCGCTTTACTACCCTCCGCTGTTCTATAACTAATAACCCGATAACTGTGCATAACAGGCAAATCGGGATTATGGGGTTGTGCTGAATTTCTCTGCTGCTGTTGTGCCTGCTGTTGTTGATATGCCTGATGGGCGTATAACCTTGACACATAGTAGGCGCTTGCTATTTGTGGAAATACCAGTGAGTGTGGCACTGAAACACCACGACCATCAACGATACAACCATCTGGCAATGAATCGTCCTCACTCAATTCACTCTCACCCTCAATAATATACGCCGATCCATCAGGATTATAAACAATTTTACCATCAAATTTTTCAACATCACCACCTGTTGGACTTGGACTCGGACTTGGACCCTGCTGCTGTTGTGATTGCAACTGCGACTGCGACTGCGACTGTGACTGCATACTCGTTGTCGTTATAGTAGCACCACCACTTGCTGCAGCCGATGCTGTTGCTATTGTATCATTAGAGCTGACCACTGTTGTTGTTGTTGTTGTTGTTGTATCGGCTGTTGGCGTTGGTGTGGGTATAGCATCACGATTACAGGGCTCTGTACCTGATGGTGGTGATGCGGTGCGTGGATGATGTGGCTGATGGAGTGCAGCCCCAGCAGCCGGAGGGGACCCGCCACTCCGGCCACCCTCCTCCTCCGGGCTCATCTCCTGTTTTTGTAGCGCGTACGCGGAATTTTGATAGCCAACGCCGTGCTGCTGGCTCTGTTGATTCTGGCTATGATGGACAGCCACCAGCTGTTGATATAGCTGATGCTGGCCAATTGATGCGCTCGTCGGTGACGACGAGTGCTGTTGCAAATGAGATGGTGGAATTGTGCGGTGCTGAAGATGGTACTGGGGGGGATGGGGCTCACTGGAGGGCATCACCCCAAACGTGAGGCGACCGCCAGCCTCACATCACCAACTGCGCATGCGTCTGCGCTCACTTTACTTTCTTTTATTCCTCCCACCTTGCACAGCGTCCAATGTACTTTAGTTAACGCCTTCCTCCCCGTTTTATCTTCCTCTTCACCCACGGTTGAAGATTTACTAGCTACCCCGTCGCAACCCCAGGTCGTACCTGCAATCAGACAGGAAAATACATCATCATCATTGGCTTAAATTTATTCATAATATTTATCCTATAAAGTGATATTTCATTGTTCGGTATTTCCTGATGTGCGTGGGAGAGAAACTCCCCGGCTCACTGTCGCCAGTTAATCCGAGCAAACAAGAGTCGTACCAGAGGTGAAAAAGATAGTGAAATACCCAGAAATGCGGCAAGCTGGGCACACACAAGAGAATATAACCCGAGAATTCAGAGATGTACGGGACAGTAGAGTACAACGGTTTGTTGCACAAAGAAATCCAATGGAGAGAGAAAGAGAGAGAAAGAGAGAGAGGGACAGGGACAAACTATATGTATACGCGCGCGCGTCGGCCAAATGTACAAGCCATCGTCTGTCCCCAGGTTATACCTGAGCCAGCTGTGTTTGCGACCCGTCGACCCGACTTATCTATCGATTGGGTATCGATAGGTTCTCTCCTCATTCCAACCCCTCGGAATGGTAGAATGAGAGCAACGAGGATGGAAAGCTATATGGAGAGAGTCACGATGTGCTTTGCTATGAATGCTTACACACTGTGTACAGAAATCTAATAAAAATATGTATCTATTTGTACCGGGCTGGGTGAAGAAAGACCAGAAATTTTAGCTGAATAATTTTTCAATATTCCAAAAGGACTTAATTATGCTCAGATTCACAGTGATGTTCATCATTGCCATAAATAATTGATGCTGAAGTGAATATTCCAAACGATTTCTTCGAACTGAGCGGTGTAAAATCGCCAGGAGCGCCTCGGCCATTTTATAATTGCATCCCAATTACGTGAAATCGAGCCGGGGGATCATCTGAGTTGGTGCCTGCGAGTACCTTTACGAGTGGTATCCCTGGAATCTAACGGATCCTCGGCAAATGCAGCACAGTAGAAGGGATAAGTAGGTGTGTGCGCGTATATCTCATCTTTTCTCAGTTGGTTAGCATGTATGAGTGCATTGAAGCATGCATACCACAATACAACTACGATTACTCTTATTCGTATACGTGGGGGTGGTAGAAAACCCGTCGTGACGTCCTGAGGCACTCTCATCCCGTTGAATATCTCTCACTCTGCGAGTTCTCCCCCTCATGTGCCCTCTCTCTCTCTCTCTCTCTCTCGCTCTCACTCTCTCTCATTACAAGTCAAGGAATATATACCACCGGACATTATGGTACGTACGTGTACCGCATTATACACCTCCCCTCTCTCTTGCTCACCCCCCCATTTACTCTCTCTCGGGTTGCCTCCCCCTTGTGTACCACCACGGGTCCCTCATAATTCCGTGGTACAAACTCCATAATCCAGTCAACGTATATCCCCATGAGCATCGGTAGAGAGACCAACCGTATCCATTTTGTAATGCGTACGTTACGGTATACCAACGGTCATTTTCCCAGATTATCGCGACCAAAAACGCCCAACTCAATGTTGTAGTATCTCACTTGGACTGATAGCTATCGGGCTGGTAAATTTCTATGGTAAAAGTAACATAACAATTCGATTTATTCGCCTATGATTGAAGATGGGTATATGTAAATTGGTTGGTATCTGATGGGGTATGATGGTAAGGACAGTAGTTGACTCTGTGGAGAGAAAAATTTGATGATAGATTAGACCTATCTGCTCTCTGCGAATTTCTTTAGATCGCAAACGTGTCGCTATTGTTGAGTGAAAGAGTGACCAAGTGATTCGTGATGGTTCAACCGGAAGTACTCAGGGCTTTTATCGGCGAAATTAACGCCGATACATTAGTTTTTTTGGGGAGGATAGATACGGTATCGCACGGTTCAGTGTGAAAAAGAAATAATTGGTTTCAGTCTCGAAATTACGTCAGTCTTCACAGATCAAACGTATCGCTTGATGCTCTGAGTACACTCCAGCACAGCTCTGTGTATCGTGCAAACAGAGCCATGATAAATGTACGGGTTAGGTAACCTCTTTGATGAACTCCCTTTCAACACCTTTTTAAAGATGAAAAAATGTGTCGTTTTATTATTTTCTTTCAGGGAAATGATTTCTGACATAATTTGTCTCGATTCTACGATTCGTTCGGGGCATGCTGGGTGCCGTTTACATCGTCTTTTCTTTCATTTTTTTTCCCTTCGTGTTGGGAAACACCGTGACGTCAAAGAATCAACACTCATGGGATCCCTTCTTCTCTCTCTCTATCTTTTAGTGGATGGAAAACACGGGTGGCTTGTTTTCATTTGTGTGGTTCGGGCACTTTTTTGAGAAAACATCTGCCAAGCATCACCTGGTCGACTTTCCTATTTTCGGTAATTTATGAATAGAACCTAGACAATGTATCATTTTAAGCGGATCAGAGTGACACAAATCTGCAATAAAAGATGGATGAAATTCTGGCATTTGGCAGTTGTGTAATGCGGGCTTTGAGGGACATTTAGACGTTTTTGGTGAATCGGGCCGATTAATCGATTGAATCGGCTCTCGTGACGACTCGAATGACTATGAACTTTCGACTGGCGTTGATTAAGCCTCTACCGCCATCGATTTTTGTACGATGAACCCCTCCTAAACCAGAAGGACGAGTTGAAGAAGTAAAGAAGTAGAATGAAGTAAAAAAAATAAATGAAAAAAGGAGGGAAATTAAGCTAGGCGGAAAGAGAAGGATAGTTTTGTCGATAATTCCGTGTCTGAAAGCCTCTGCGGAATAAGAAATTTAGATTCGTGAGACTCGGACCTTTGGTGGGGGGGTCCTTGGAGTCTATCCTTTTCACCTTTTTTTTTGTTTTTTACAATTGTCGTTTCGTTGTCTTTTCCGAGAGTTTGCGTGATGGACGTGAGTCTTTCACGATATCGAGAAACAATCGATGGAGGAAGAGCTCGAGTCACAAATGATCCTCTCTCGTATACACAACGGGGTGGATTATAGCACTGGTTAACTCCCGGTGAAAGTATCGAAGAAAGGGTGCAACACAGGTGGTTGATAGGTTTCTTTCAGAGTGTGCCCAATGCCGGATATTAGCGAGCAACATTGCCACTGCGGAAAATAAAGAAGACGTATTTTTGAAAATTTTTTGTTTTTTTCGACATATACCGGAAACCGAACCAATGTGTACGCTAAAACCGCATCGCGCTCGCTGCTTTCTCAAATGCAATTCATCTCCCTTTGTTGTTTGTCGTCGTGTGCGGCTATGCCACATGACACCATCACCACCTCCGGTCCCCGGAAGAAAAGAACGAATACGAAAGTAGAGAGATCAAAAGACTTACATCAAAATTAGGAGCAATTATCCCATACGCATTTTGTTACATATCGGCAATAATATCGTGTCTCGAAAAGGGAAGAGGGAGAGAGAGAGAAAGATGGAGGAGAGGTGAGGGTTCGCGTGTTCACGCGAGTGGTGAAAGAGTCTTTCTTTTCTCCAAAGAAATAAATATTCATTGTACGCCCTGGTAAAATTCACGGGCGACGCTCGAACGGAAGTCTGAAAACGTCCACCTTGAGTTTCGGTTTCGGGATTGCAGCAGCAATTATACCAGTGGTTTTTGAGGGTACCGTCAAGTTGTTCGGCTTTTTTTTTAACCCCATTTCTGAAAATATGTTTCATGAAGGAGTTGAGAGGTGCATTGAGGTGTACTGTGGAAGACAACGGTAATAATCGAAGGGGCATAAAAGGGTTGGCACACGAAAGAGGAGAGGGAGAGTGCGGTGAGGGCCCTCTCAGTGGCAAAGGTGGAGGTTAATTTAGGTTCAACATGGATCTGGACGGCGTTTAATCCGATGGCTAGGAGGGGAAGC